GACAGCTGAGCCAAGGGGTCTTTACCTGCATGCCCTCCTGGCCCAAGATTCCCACACCCACATCTGCCACCTGGATCATGCTGACGTCATTGGCTCCGTCACCTGGAAACGGCAAGGCAAGGAGAACCGTTTGAGTCGGGTTGTAAAGAATCACATCAACTTGGTGGGTTTTCTCGGTGCCCCTGAGGGACTGAGTCTCATGAGAGAGTCACAGGGAAGACCAAGGGAAAGGCAGTTTGGCACTGGTCCTGGGGGAACCGAGTTAGGCAGTCAGAATATACCGTGGAGCAGGGCCTGCAGCTGCCGGCACCCTGAGGAACGCCAAGGAAGCAGCCTAGCACCCAGACAGTGCTCCCATACCAACTGCCCTGCAGTGTTAGCTCTTACACACTCCTCAGGGCCCTACCATGGTGTCCACAGCATGAGAGATGCCATCGTCATCATGTTGTCATCATCACAGTGACTGAACTATTCCTGCCAGGCAGCCAAGGCCACTCAGCTTATACTTCCATGAGTGGTTTCTATACTAACGGCATGAGGCTGTGTCCCGCTCAGCAAACCACAGAGCTCTCTCTGCACACTGGTGAGCTGCCAGCATATCAGCCACCTCTACCTCTGGGCCCTCTAAGGGTGCAAATAAAGAGAGTTTCCATTTTTTCTGTTAAGCTATTGACAGAAAATGTTTAGGAACACAGGGCATAGGTCAGAGTGTGAGACATCTTTGGGGAACAGCAAGCAGAGACATACAGTAACCGTTCTCAGAACACAGCAGTAGAACAGCCAAATAACAGCGTCTGTCCCCAGCTGCCCAAACGGTTAAAGGCGTGGACATAATAAGGTCAGAGTGCCTCAGACTGTGGCTATACAGTGTCTCTTTCTTGTATTTTCCTGTTCTTTATTAGCTTGGGCCCAAACATGGGTGATCAGGCAATAATTGCCAAAGAGAAATTCTGTGAAGCAATAGAAACCTGTACAGCCTTCTCCAGAATGTCCCATTCGGAGTGTGCTGATGTACAATCGCACCCTCTGCATTAGAAACCGAGGAGGAGGTGCATGGATGCTTTAACTCATGAGCAGAGCAACACGCTACCATTCTGGTGGCCATTACTCTCCTCTCCCTTTTCAGATTCTAGTTAGTTTTTTCTTTATTTTTAGCCAACCAAGACTTTCCTCCCATTTCGTAAATGAATGCCAGACACTGACCAGGTAGGGATAACTGGATCCATCATTCCTATCTTACTCCAGCCTTTTGAGGCTGATGCTGACCTCATGTTCCTGGCACAGACAATGTACCAATGCTCAGAGGAGGACGGTGGGTGGTGAGAGGTGCTGGCTGACCTGCACACCCTCCTCAGCTCCTGCCCAGAGTACGTGCCCAGGAAACCTGAAGGCTGCAGGCACATCAGGCACCTGATGGCTCAGGACAGCCTCTCCAGGGAAGGACCCAGGCCTGGAGGAGCTGCCTGTCCTCCCTCAGCCTGGACTAGGGGCTATGGCCATCCACTTCCCTCCTATCTCCTGGGCACACACCCTGTGTCCACCTGTGCACATTGCTTAGCAGATGTGCAGGGCCAGGTCTTTACAACAAATACACTGTCCTAATCCCACCACATCTCAGGCTCTATGGTGGGTTCCTGGGGCCAGATGGTGGGGCCCATTGGGATAGGGCAGCAATCCCCATCTCAACAAGCAGTGGCTGTCATAGACAGCAGAAAGTACTGCAATTACTGTTGACTGATTGGTAAGAACACTTTATGTCAGAGCCAGCTCTCACCTAGGGGTAGATTACATGTGTATGAGGGATCTCTGGAAAGTATCAGCCATGTAATACAAAAAATAGAGGCTGGATACTTTCCTGACTATTTACAGGGAGCTCAAACTGTTGTATATCTGGAGACAGTGACCATCACCTCTTTCCCCGGTCTTGCCAGGTGGTAGGGCTGTTGAGTGCCTCCCCGAACCTGTGCTGGAGACCAGGCCTGAACCAGAAGTGGGAGGAGGGACGCTCTAGAAGGCACCAACACCCCATGTTGGAAGAGGAGGCCAGAAGGCTCTCCAGGCCAACATCAGCTACACAGCCTTTAAGTAACTGACGTAAAATTGAACAGTGATTCTTATCCTAGGTGGACTTACTTAACTAGGTGCCTATCTTGGAATGATCAGCAAAGCTCAGCTGACAAGAGGTGATGGGAATTCAGATCACCACCAAGTCTCTGGGTCTGTGTGGCATTACAAAGCCCAGGTTCCCAGGAGACTCACCACCTGTGAAAAGGCTTCTTAACCTTAACCCTACGTCAACCCGGGTTTAGGGTATCGTAGCAACATCCTCTGCTATGGCCTGGGCTGCCCAGGACTGGTAGGTCTTTATATCCTGTTTCCTAAAAAGCAGTGAAAGCTCCACCTCATTGTCTTAAACAGCCCTGACCTTAACATGCACCTGGACCCGCTGCTACTGTATTTTATGGCTTTCCAGGGTAAGCTTTAAATTCAGAATGCGCTGCCTGCCTTATCACACTGGGTAGGATTTTATAAACAGAAAAAAAAAAAAAGATAAGGATGTGTTTGCCCACCTTATGGCGTGGCATGGAAGGGTGCTGAAATTTCAGGTCATTTTGAGACAAAGCAGCTGAAGGGGACAGCTGGGGGATGGGCCCTGCTTGGTGGCCCGCATACTTGCCTATGGCCAGAGTCATGGCCTTGAGCTTACTTCTGACCAGCTTTACCACCATGCTCTTCTGTAGAGGTGTGGATCGACAGCAGAGAACTGACCGGCATTGTTTGGCAAGGAAGAGAAATTTGTCCTCCAGGTTTCTGTCCAGGGCATAGGCCAGACTTCGCCCATCGATCACGAGGCTCGGGCCGGGGTTGGGGGCAGTGGGTGAGGGGGGTGGGCTGAGAGGGGAGAATCCCACAGTCACTTTGTTGTCTGTCTTCTCAGGGTTGCTGCGGAGGCCCCTGGACTGCACGTAGTGTAGGCACTGGTCCAGCAGGGCGGCACAGGCTTCCTGAAAGAACAGGAGGGCGGTGTGGCTCGCTCCAGGATACCCCACAGGTGCCTCTGGGGCCAACACCTCCCAGGGCCCCAGCCTGTAGCATCCAGCTGCTCAGAAGGCGGTGCTCCAGATACTGTGAGGGTCGGCTTACGAGGAGAACTGACCCCAGGAGAAGAAACTGGTCTAGGTTTCGATAAGATTCTACCTGAACACCCGGGACCCAGTGCAGAGGGTGGAATGAAATGTGCCCACTTTGGGGGCCTTCTGTCCAGCAGGCCCTGCACACACAGCCCCAGAGCTCTCTGAGGCCCTTCCCGGAACATTTTTGAGGTACCAATAGCAGGGAATACAGCTCCTTAAAATCGTAATCCTTATTACGATTAGCCCTCCAGAAATGGGATCATCAGTGTACTCCCTGAGTCTCCAGTCCTACCAGCAAAAGAACAAATAAAGCATAACCACTCAGGCTTTTAATTGGCAAAATGGGATGTGAATTCCAGAGAGAGGAAGAAAACCTACTGGGGGATATACTAAGAATCAGAAACAGGCCCAGGCCCAGGCCCCGGGGGTGAACAGCTGCCAGGAACACACACACCTGGGGGCCAGGGAGGCCCCCATGCCCCGCAGATGGTGAGCCTGCCCAAGTACTGACCAGCTCCCTGCAATACCCCCTGGACACCGACAAGTGCTCACTGAGGACTTTTTGCATTCAGAAAACTGAGACTAGAACAAGGCAGCCTAGAAGTCACAGTTACTGTACCTGGGGCAAAGGTGGACAGCTGGACACACTTGGAATCTGAGAAAACCACCAACTGGACGTGCAACAGTGTTACTGGACACGGAGAGGAGAGGGGAAAAGCTACTTCCAGAGCAAGGAAAGGGGAAGCCCTGGTAACTGGGGAGAGCCCTCAGGAGGGTGCGGGATGTCGCCGCACAGGAGTTCCCTGGTCCTAAGCTTAAAGCACTGACAAGGCTGGCTGTGGGGAAGAGGAGTGGGCAGGACGACGCAGAGGCTGCTACCTGAGAACTCTGGAGTGAAGAGTGGCCACTGGGTCAGAGAGGAAGACTGGTAGACAAGAAAATGGAGGGCGGCAGGGTCTCCCTTTTCACATTGGAGGCCACTGCATTGGCTCGAGGCATCCCGGAGCCAAGAAGTGGACTCCAGGGCAGGGACAGAGAGCACCGAGTGGAGCCCTGCAGCTCCGGCTGGACTCCAGGGCAGGGACAGAGAGAGTGCCGAGAGAAGCCCTGCAGCTCCAGCTGGACTCCAGGGCAGGGACAGAGAGAGCACCAAGAGAAGCCCTGCAGCTCCAGCTGGACTCCAGGGCAGGGACAGAGAGAGCACCAAGAGAAGCCTTGCAGCTCCAGCTGGACTCCAGAGCAGGGACAGAGAGAGTGCCGAGAGAAACCCTGCAGCTCTGGCTGGACTCCAGGGCAGGGACAGAGAGAGTGTCATGAGAAGCCCTGCAGCTCCGGCTAAGGGCAAGACAGGGAGCTCCCGTGCTCAGAGGAGCCAGAGGAAACCCCTACACTCGTTTTTTTCTTGTTTCCTCTGTTCTCTTGACCTCAGTCCCAGGCAGTCTTGCTGCAGTGGCCTTGGAGGAGCAGGGGCACGGGAGGCAGTAGGACCACCTCCTGCTGGACAGTCTGTGAGGTTGAACCTTCTTTTCACTGAGAGAAGCCTTGGCGCTTTGTTCTCTCCCCCCACCACAACTTGGCCTGGACATGGGTGAAGGTGCCGAAGATACATGGAAAGTGAGGCCGAACTCCAGCTATCTTGCCAGAGGAACATAATGGGATTCCTGAGGCACCAGAAGGCACTGGCAAGATTGTAAAGAGGGAGAAGCTTGGCTGCCTGACCCCACAATGGCATTTATGAGTTCTGGAGCCTGAACCCACAATGTCACTTATGAGTTCCGGAGCTCACGGGTAAGCTGTGCATACATGGGTACCACCCCAAACCACATAACAAAGCCTTTGAAAATCAAACTCTGAAGTTCCTAACTGACCTCTGGAGGGCAAAAATTTGAGATAGGTTGTAATAAATCTGCCTTTGAAACGAATACCCTGAGACTGTTCAGATAAATCAACCCAATAGTGATTTTCTGCTCAAAATCCACATTCCTGATAGAAATGAAAAATGACCCAAGTGCCATAATACTCAGAATGCCCATGATACACTCCAAAGCTTCGCTGGCATACAGAAAACCAGAAAAATCTCAACTTGTGTGGACAAAGATAATGTAACAGAAGCCATGGACAATCAAGATGACATATACTGAAATTTTCTGACAATGACTAAAAATATTCCAAGAAGTAAAGTTGAGCATTCTGTAAAAGAATAGAAAGACAGAGTCTCAGCCAAAAACTCCAGAGGATATGCAAGAAGAACCAAATAGATTTCAGAACCAAAAAATACATTAACCCAACTAAAAAGTACACTGGATTGGAAATCATTTATGTAAATATCCTGCATTCAGGGAGAGGAAGTGCAACTCTACACTCTGTAAGTGTGAGCTGGGCATAGTGACTTCCTTCAAAAGAGTTCAACGTGAGGCTAGGTGCAGTGGCTCATGCCTGTTTGAAACTCACAAGATGGAGAGCAGCCTGAGCAAGAGTGAGACCCCATCTCTACTAAAAACAGAAAAACTGGCCTGGTGGCACAGCAGGTGCTTGGAGTTCCAGCTCCGTGGGAGGCTGAGGCAAGAGAATTGCTTGAGCTCGAGAGTTTAAGGTTGCTGTGAGCAATGATGATGCCATAGCACTCTGCTCAGGGCCACACAGTGATACTCTATCTCAAAACAAACAAACCAGTATAGAAAGGTAAGTTTACAGCAGATAAACCTGCTAACCACAAGGGCAACACTGGCAGTAATGTCATGTGGTCAGTGTGTACCCTTGATATGACAGGAAAATGGCACTTTATCCCCCAAACCCATCCCTCCACTTTACTCATAAAAACATTATAGGGACATTCTATTCAGTATGTGAACAGGACTCTTCAAAACTGTCAAGGCCATTAAAAAGAAAAACAGTCTGAGAAACTGGCCCAGCCAAGACAGCCTAAGGTGGCATGATGACTAAATGTAATCTGGGATCCTGGACGGACAAACTAAAGCAATCTGAATATAGTATGGACTTCAGAAAGCAAAAATGTATTAGTATTGGTTCATTAATACAACAAATGTACTATGCCAGTGTAAGATTAATAATAACAGGAGAGTTTATGTATGTGGCATATATGGGAAGTCTCTGTACTAACCACAACTTTTCTGGAAATCTAAAACCATTTTATGAGGTTTGACAATTCAGTTCACAAACTTATCCCCCTAAACTATATACCTCATTGCTGAATATCACTAGGGTCACCAAATGGTGAAGAGGAGCACTTTAAAGGTGACCCTGGTGATATTCAGCAATGAGGTATGCAGCAC